CCCCCCCCCCAAGCCTCAAATTATCCCATGTAGGTATAAGAGGCTGCTACACTGGGTACTGATCTTCACCCTCCCAGTGGACATATTCTCTTGAAAGGTTTTCAGGGACAGGGCTCCACCAAAATGAACTGTAGCACTGGACCTGTATAACACCCTGGTGCAACTGCAACCGCTGCACAAAGTGGACACAATACAGGCCGGCGCTGCACCTTCCTTCCAGCAAAGTCTGGGTACATTCCCCCAAAGAGCAGGGAGAGAAAACAATGGATAGCTGTAAGCCACAGCGGCTCTGAGCAGCTTAAGAAAATTTGTTAGAAGAGTCTTGAGCAGAAAAGTGCAGAAAAGCATGTGCTCAGAGCAGAGAGAAGGTGTGCATCATCTAAAGACACTAGCAAAAAACTGAGGCAGGCATGGGAGGTGAGTGGGAGGGCTTATACAGGGCTGTCCTTACATCTTTGATTTGCCAGTACCCAATTACCTGAAGGCAGTTGTATAATCTATTGGTTCCAGAATTAACTCCCTATGCCCTGTTGAGTGCAAACCAAGAAAAACTGTACCTCATGCCCTGATGGAACACAGCAAACCCTCCACCCTGCTTCTTACTCACTATTTGCAGCTGGGTTAAAGTTTCAGTGTATCTCCAAATCTGGGAACCCAGCACTGCACTGAGCAACAGGATGGCCGCTGCAGTAAATCTGCAGACCTGGGAGTGTGGCGTGACATGCAAGTGTCATGATCCAACACAGCTGGATAGAGACATCCTACTCCTAAGGACAGTATGCTAAACTGAACATACTATGTATATGTGGGTATACAGACAAATGTAGGTGCTGTGCCTTTTGATTTGCCTAGACGCTAACCTCCTAGAGGCAGAGCACATAACCAGAGCAGCTGATATCCTGTCAGTAGTACCAGGTGCACAGCAAATATCAATGTTCTATCCTGGTCTGCAATTTCACTACATTTGTGAAATAAAAACATTTACTGCCCTTTAAAAATGTATTAAAGGAGAACTATGACATGAGTGATTTCCACTCACCTCATAGTTCTAAGCCGACCTGTGACAATGAGACTGTCACAGGTCGGCTGAGTAGATCGGGAGGGGAGAGAACACATACCGGGTTCCCTCACCTCTCGATCCTGTCACGGCTCTCTGCCGTGACAGGGGGAGGGGCTGGATTCCCCTCTCCGATCTGCCAGGGCTGACTGGCGGAACGGACGGGGGAGGGGGTGGTTACAGCTGGCTCTGCCTCTGGATAGGCAGAGCCAGCTGTCACTCACGCAGCTGGGCGAATTCCGTCATCTAAGTCGGGATCCGCTCCAGGTGCGGCGTCTCAGTATACCGCGAGCTGTAGCTCGCGGTATACTGAGCTTAGGGTAACGGGAGGACGCTAGTTTGTGTCCTCCCGTTACTCCAAGGAGAACTATGGGGAAAAACACTGACCCCATAGTTCTCCTTTAATCCAATAAAATATACATATTAAATTAAATCCTATAATAACAGCTGTATGTCTGGTTTCTTGGGATTTGAATATATCTTACTCTAATTTTCACAGCTAGTTTATGCTCAATCATTATGAATAAGAGGCATATATGGTCATGTAAGGAGTAAGAGAATTGGATAAAGAGCAGTAACTTACAGCAACTAAAAGTTTTTCACCTTTTATCACAACAGTCATCAAAATAAAAGATGACTTCTGATTGGTTGCTGAGGGTTAGTGCCCTTTGTCCTTTAAAGCAGATTTAGCATTAATTATCAGACGTGGAACAACCAGCTCTTACCAGCTGCAATATATCTTCATCTCGAGGCATAATAGAAAGTTCCAGCACATCCTCACTAAAAGGGACAGCAAACAGAGAAGCAGATGTTACCAGGAGATAGTGTGAAGTGGACATACAAGTCATTTTGGCTAAAAGAAAACAAAATATCTAGTGACTATAACATAATAATGTGAAAGTTTAAAATGATTCACGTACAAAACCTTTTTTCAGCTTTGGATAGAGTGGGAAAGAACATGTGTTTATGTGAACAGGTGTTTATTTTTTTGTCTGTGTTCCATTCAGCCAAATTTCTTGTGCCAATGACACTGGGTGGACAAAGATATAAAAAAATAAAAAATAAAAGTCAGAGGTTCTAAAGCTTCCCCATGTTAAGTAAAACAATGTTCTTATTGCTATCTTTCTTCCTGTCTGCAAGATATCCCCTCACTCCCTCTCTTGGTGACATGATAGTAGAGGGTGGTGTAGAGTTGCATCAAAGTGGAGCCAGAACTGTCCATGTAATGTAGGGCACGAGCAGTCAAGGGAGAATTTGCACTCTAGTGGTTTCTATATATTTGTTAGTGATTGATTGTGTATTCTATCCAATAAATTATTTTTTTTTACAGAATTTAGATTTAGAACCATTAATGGACCTTGTAAGGTTTTCTATGGTTTTAAAATCATTTATTCTACCACGCCATTGTCTCATGGATTTAGGGGGGGGTTTCCAAAGTGTTGGAATGCATGCATGTTCCACATTTACCAAATAAATAATAACAGCTTGTTTTGTATGTTTTTGGTGGGAGGGCATCACAGTGAAGCACATAAGAAGCTGAATCTTTAGAGATCGGGAGGGATGAACCGAACAGTATAGGATCGGAGTGTGTGGGGAAAAAGGAGTGAAGGATGTCGGGGGTTCTATACCGCCATGTCATATTTTGGTATCCTGACTTCTGGTACTTATTACTCACGGAGTATTTGCAAAACAGGATAGGCAGTTTAACTTCTCATATTGATTCAGCTGTATGTTAAGTTTTTGTCACCTTCTATTTAGGAATGGCATTGGAAGATTTGGGACCTCCTGTAACAGCAGTTTGTAGATCATGAATACAATGAGGGGAATTTATCAAAACTGGAGCAGACAAAATCTGGAGCAGCTGTGCATGGCAACCAATCAGCTTCTCCCTTTCATTCTCAATTCTTAACTGAACAAATTGAGAATAGAAGCATATTGGTTGCTATGGCCAACTGCTCAAGATTTTGCATGCATTTATTTTCAAATGGGGTAGGTAGACAGTCAAAAGAATTTGCATTTAGTAGAGAATGTAGAGTGTCAATTGTCTTTCTTGCCAATGATCTAAGGGTGCATGGTCTAGCTCTGTAAGTAGGTTGTGATGAGGGAGCCAGTTTTTAAAAAAAGGCATTGTTGTGAACTTGCCAGACAATCACATTTTTGTGAATTATATTATTTATCGGGTGGAACTATGAGGGGTTTCCGAGAATGGTGAATAGAGGGGATGGTGGCAATGAGAGGCCACTCTTAATAGGTAATTTTTGAACAAGTAAAAGTGTGAATCCACTGGAAGATTTTAGTGGGTGAAGATGTAAATTTGTGTTCTATGAAGGTCCAAAGTTTGGTATTAAGATGTCTAAACCAGTCTAGTATTCTTGTAAGGTGGACTGCAGTGTAAAAAGTTTGATTTCGGGTACAGATATACCTCTGGTAGAGTTTTCCACTTTTCACCCATGTTTACTGGATTGTACTGTATATAGATTGCTGTAATGCATATTGTATGTCACTTTTTGTCTGTGTGTTTATAATAAATTGTATTTTTTTCATTAGGTTTGTGTCTGGTCTCATCTACTGTATGAGATCAGACCAGACACATATTCCACATATCTGATTACTTTAACACTGCAGGATACTAGTGCTGAGAAAACCCAACAGAGCATCTAGTTTCCATACTCTATCCACACAAAAAAACAAACAAACCTTGAGTACCATTCTAATGGCACTTTTAATACAGACCAAAGATCTGCCATACATAATAAGGGAAGATAATGTTTATGTCTTGCTCTTTTGGCTGTCCCTCCTTTTCCCACACCGTTCCTAGAGCTCCATATCACACCTGTTTTGTATCAGTGCAATGACTTGTGAATATGTTTTCCCGATTATACTTTCTCCATTCACTTTAACAAGGCGGTCACCTGAAAAAGAAGACATATTGTCATGCGAGGCAGACTAAGATGCCTTTTCTCAAATAATATAAAAGTTTTTTCTTACTGCGTACATTTAAAGTGTATGTTAATCCAAAAGCTATTTTACAGTATGCTTGGCAAGATTCTTCATTGTTTACTGTTTTCTTAAATCTCTCGTTAACAAAAAAATATATAAAAATAATATTTGGGTATCACCCTAAATCTATGGATGTTGTAATTCAGCGGTGAACTAAAGTTGGCCATACACTGGTAGATTTTTGCATAGATGTTCATAAGAAAAACCTCGTCAGTCCATGCGAGAATGCTTTCAGAGACTTGTAGAATGACTTTGAAATTTTGTTAGATTTTAACATTAGATTATTGAAATGAAGGGAGTTTCTCGAATTAAAACTGCATTCACTGTTAGAAATTGTTTCTCAAACAAAATTCTACCCTGCTCCATCAATCAGAAAATCAAATAAAGATTTCAAAAACAATTTTTTTAGAATGAAATTCTACTGGTATACAGCGAACTTTACCTCACTCTTCAGGCTTCTTCTCTACAGTTTCCAGGATGAATGACTTCATCATGTACAATGCAGGACCAGTATTACAGTATTGTATGTGAGAATGCTGAGGGCCTGCCCACATTCTGGCTGGAGCAGGATCTTTGAAAAATTACGACCGTCAGGGAATAAGGTACCGTATTTTGTGGTCCATAACACGCACATGACCATAAGACGCTTGTAGTTTCTGGCAGCTGAGACAGGTGGCGCTGTGATTACAGCACCACCTGTCTCCGTGATCACACAGAGCAGACGAAGAACGGACGTTCTCTATGGTGAGCTCCTATACCGTGGTCACGGGTCCCCCAGAGGAGCGGGGGACCCCGAAAACCGCAGCGGGGGGGGGGGGATTTGCGGACAGGATCGCCGCTGCTTCTTTCCTACAAGTGATTTAATCACTTGTATGAAAACGAGCGGCGGCTCCACACTATACATTTAGCTCTGCTTGTCAGGAGCAGGGCTAAATGTACAAAAAAACTACTCGTCCGGCGCACGAAACTGCATGTCCCGGGCATCGGGCGATAGGGATTCCCTCAGCTCTCACACATTCGCTCCACAAGACGCACTGACATTTTTGACCCGCCTTTTGGGAGAAAAAAATGTGCGTCTTATGCAGCGAAAAATACGGTAATTATCCCCCTCTTATATCCTCTTAGACTAAACAAGCATAAGGCCTTGTTCACACCAAGCGCGTTCCAGGAGCAGAGCAGAGCAGTTACAGAACGGAGCAAAACTGCGTCCAATGTATTCCAATGGTATTTTTAGCTCCAGTTCACATCGCAGCGTTCCGTTCCAGAGCAGGTCCAGGCCTTGTTCACACAAAATGCAGAGCAGATCTGCATGAGTTTCTGCACACGCAGTGCAGTGGGTTGTTCTGCGTTTTTTGCCGCGTTTTTGAACAGGTAGCAAAAGATCCTATGAGAGCAACCAGTTATATGTAGTAGCACCAGAGAACAGCCAGGAACAGTCCAAGACTCTGAAGGAGAACATTCCCGTGACTGTTCTGTGAATCATGTGACTTACAGTGCACCAACTGGCTTCTCTTTTGTATATCTGAATATAGGGTGAGGGATCTCTTACAGAGTCCAGATGGCAGCTCTCACCAGCTTCTCTTCAACACTCCTCAGTAAGCTGATTCTTCCTCCAGCCCAGCTTCCATCAGGTTTCTTCTCAGTAACATCTTAGACCTCTGGGTCCCCAGCTTCTGCCACATGTTGAGGCCTAGGCCAGGCATCTTGCAGCACACAAACCTTCTCCCAGGGAGAAGCCCCAGGGGAGAGAGAGCATTGTGGAAGGTGTTCACAAATATGTATTAGCTTCCTCCAGCCATACCTATGAGTGAGCAAGCTCATGGATTGGTCAGAGTCAGATGCATATTCATAACCTGAAGATTGATCCTCCCACACTGTATACTGAGGCACCAACCCAGCAACAGGTAGAATCCATTAATCAATCAATTCATCAGACTTAGGAAAACCTGCACATCTCAGAGCAATCAGCATCCAGACAGTCTAAATATAACACTAAATTTAATTGCGACATAGCAGAGGGCGCCACATAAGAATCCCACAGAGCAAAAAAGGTTGCGTAAACATCCACCTTGTAGCTCTATTTACAGACAGAAAGGAGCATCAGTCATCCTAAAGAAATTGGGGGAGAGGTAAGAGTGTACTGCAATAGAGTAGCAGAACCTTTTTAATAGAAAAAAATTATAAAATGCACTCACCATATAAAACCTTGCATTGGTCACATAACAGAGAGAGTAGTATGCAGGCTGCACAAGAAGAAAGCTCCCAGGAGATGGAAGGAAACCAGGGTAAGATCTTATGAAGGAAGCTGCCAGTGGATACACAGCACGGTTCCAGCTCTCCACTCTCCTGTAGCTCCTCTTCCCAAAAGAACGTGGTGTCTTGTCTGTGAGTGCCTGCAAGCACATCCATCAGGGAATGCATTTCGGGGTAGATGCTTAACCCCTTTAGCAGCCTGATCAGTGACAGTGTAATGCGGCTATATGTAGGCTAACATATTACCGGTAATTGGATATTCCAAACCCACTGTTATTAAGCGATTCTAAACACAGCTTTATATTGTATACAGTAACAAAACAGTATCATGACTATGTATAACATGAACTTTAGCAGCAAATATATTATAATACAAAATAAAGAAACACTTTCATTTTATCGTAAAATGAATGATCATTTACAGTGAGGAAAATAATTATTTGATCCCCTGCAGATTTTGTAAGTTTGCCCACTTACACATAAATAAAAGGTCTATAAGATTTATCATAGGTGTATTTTAAATGATAGAGACAGAATATCAACCAAAAATCCAGAAGGAAACACATGATACAAATGTTATAATTTGAGTTGCAGTTCAGTGAGTAAAAAAAGTATTTGATCCCCTACCAACCAACAATAATTCTGGCTCCCAACGACTGGTTATAAGGTACATAGATTATTTCTGTCAATTTAAGAAGGTGGTCCTAACGACAACTTGTTATGTATATAAAAGACACCTGTCACAGAATCTCTTGCGGTATACTGAGACGCCGCAGTATACCGTGAGCTGCTGCTCGCGGTATACTAAGACGCCACAGCTGAAGCGGATCCCGACAATTGTGCTGGGATCCGCCCAGCTGCGTGACTGACAGCTGGCTCTGCCTATCTAGAGGCACAGCCAGCTGTACCCGCCCCCTTCCCCCGTCCGTTCCGCCAGTCAGCACTGGCGGATCGGAGCGGGGGATCCAGCCCCTTTCCTGTCACGGCAGAGAGCCGTGACAGGATCGAGAGGTGAGCGAACGCCGGTATGTGTTAGCTCACCTCCCTATCTACTGAGCCGACCTGTGACAGTCTCATTGTCACAGGTTGGCTGGAACTATGAGGTGAGTAAAAAGCACTCACCTCATAGTTCTCCTTTAATCCTATAGAAAATTAATTGAGGGAGCTGAAACTTCAAGTTGCCAAGCGACAGCCAAGAAACCTTAAGGATTTAAAGAAGATTTGTAAAGAAGAGTGGACCAAAATCCCTCCTGAGATGTGTGCAAACCTGATAACCAACTACAAGAAACGCCTTACCTCTGTGCTTGCCAACAAGGGTTTCTCCACCAAGTACTAAGTCATGTTTTGCTTGGGGATCAAATACTTATTTTACTCACTGAACTGCAACTCAATTTATAACATTTGTATCATGTGTTTTTTCTGGATTTTTGGTATATATTCTGTCTCTGTCATTTAAATTACACCTATGATGAAAATTATAGACCTTTAATTTCTTTGTAAGTGGGCAAACTTACAAAATCTGCAGGGGATAAAATAATTATTTGTCACACAGTATCTAGTATCTCTACTGAATAAAATGTATTTTTAAATGTGAGTGTACAATATAATATAATTTATGTGATTATACAATGTTACATGCCTAAGATGTTTAATTATCTGTGAGCGAATGCATCAAGTTGGATATATACCGTATTTTTCCGTCTATAAGACGCCCCCATGTATAAGACGCCCCCAACTTTTCTTACCCAAAATTCAGAAATCAATATTTTAAATGATATTATGCATCACACTTACCTCTGAGCTAATCACTTTATTCAGCCTCTGTTGCATCACTGGTTTCTTCATCACTTTTAGCTTCAAACATATCAGTTTCTTCAACTTCTGCTGCATCACTGCTGTCTGCTGAGTCACTGTCTATATATACAAGATCATCCTCAGTTCCGTCCATGGCATTGCTGATTCCACATTTCTTGAAGGACTTCACAATCACCTCTTGTTTGACACCATACCATGAGTTTAGAGAGTTTACAGGTTGTTTTTCACTTTCTGACATTTTTATGGTCACAGAATGCTCCGACATTACCGCTCTGGGCACTGCCTACACGATCTCCCCAGCAACAGCTCACGTCAGGTTCAAAAGATTTATGAGTGGAGGAGAACTGTTATCTTGTCTCTGCAATCCTTGAGGCTAGTTTGCAATGGTATCAGCACTTTCAAAACCGCGGCCCCCGTGTATAAGACGCACGTCTATTTTTAGATAAAGATTTTTATGAAAAAGTAGCGTCTTATACACGGAAAAATACGGTATCCACTTGATACAGTAAGTTTAAAAACAATCATTTTCAGCAACAAATTAGTTATTCACTAATAGATCAGTGTGGACCTTTAACTTCATTGCTTACTTGTTAAGCATTCATTTATTTATTATTTATTTATTACAGGTATTTATATAGCGCTGACAATTTATGCAGCCCTTAACATCAGTCCCTGCCTTTAAGGAGCTTACAATCTAAGGTCCCTATCTCACATGCTCACATACGAGGGCCAATTTAGACAGGATTTTCACTCAACCTCATAGTTTGAGCGGACGTGAGACAATGAAACTGTCACATGTCGGCTCAATAGATCGGGAAGTGAGCGAACACATACCGTCACTCGC